ACATACATATATATATATATATTTGGAATACATATTATATTAACTCACATAAACAAAAACGCTTTGGGGAACCTCAATAATTCTTACGAAAGTTAAAGGAGTCCTGACGCCAAAAAAGTTCAAGAATCCCTAGTACAGTGGTTCCAAGGCCGGTAACAGGGAAAAGAGCTTTACTTATAGTTTAATGTGTATGCTGAGGTCTAGAGGAGAACTTGGTAACTTGGTTTGCTGGGGGAAGGATGCTGAGTTCCGTTTCAGTTTTTTCCCACCATCCTTCTCTCCCCACATAAACCCCATGGACGCCTGCAAACTCCTCTGCTTGCATGAGCAGCCGCACTCCCCCCTCCCAGGTTCCTTAGGTCTCTAGGTGTGCGTCAACAGCCCTTCGTTTCGTATCCTGTGGAAGTGACAACTACCCTATCACAAAGCGGCTTTCCTTCTCAGTATCCTCTCCTTGGTTTTCCACCTCTCTCTTTCAGATCACGGGGAGGAGAGCAAGAAAAGGGTGGGAAACATCCCCATTCCAAAGCCTCCAACCCTGGGCACTAACTCCCAGGAGACTATCTCTAAACGATGACTACAGTCACATTTTTCCCACTAGCGGTTCCCCTATCTCGAGTGTCCCCTGCCACCCTTCCAGCCCCACCTACCACAGTGTCAGTCCTTCCACTCGCGGCCCCACGCCGCACACCCCCCGGCTCCCTCGGCGCGCACGTGACGTCGACGCCGACGCCGCCTGCTCCCGTTTCCCCCCCCACCGCGCCCCCTTACCTGAGTCGGAGGCGGCCCCGGCTCCCCGCCACCTCGGCCAGCCTCCTCCAGCCCCGGCCCTCTGGCGCGCGGTCCAAGCTCTCGCTGAGCCTCCGCAGTAACGGCTCCCGCAGGCGGTTAAGGGTCGCGCTGGCGGCCGGGGGTGGCGGCGGCACCGCGGGCGCGGCCGGGGGCGGTTGCGAGGCCGAGGGCGGCGGGGCCTGCAGCGGCTCCCCCCACAGCGACATGTCCTCCGCCGGCGCCCCCGAGACGGCTGGGCCGCAGCTGCAGCGCACCTTCCGCTCTCCCCGTCGCTCGCTCCTGAGTCGCGGGAGGCAGTGACGGAAGGACAAATCGAGCGGCCGCACAGCACTCGGAGGAGGAAACTCGGCTCCCCAACCAGCCTGCACACGTTTGCCTGCGAGCCCCGCAGGGCCGCGGGACTGGGCGCGCCGAGAGGCAGGGCTAGGGGCGGGGCCAGGGCCTGAGGCGGGGCCGGGGGCAGGGCCAGGGCCTGAGGCGGGCCTTGGGGCGGGGCCGGCGCGCTTGGAGAAGGAACCTTAGCTGCCTGCCCTGGCGGGACGCGTTTGTTGAGAAGCCGGGCTCTCTGACCAAGCCTGGCCAGTCAAGGAGAAAGGCCTGTTGAGGTGCGAAGCCTGGGCGGGGCTGGCGCGCTCGGTGGGGAAGCTCAGCTCGCCGCCCTGCCGACCGACGTTTGCAAAGTACTGAGCAAACCGACCGCACCAGGCCGTCGAGGGGCGGGCCTTGGGGCCCTGCCCACCTCCGCGCGTGCGTACGGCCAGTGCCTCGCACCGCCTCCCACGCTGTTGCCGAGACTGCAGTGGCGCGTGCTTTAAACCCGGGAGGTGGAGCCCTGGTTGAACCGGAAGGGTCTGGCGATTGCAGATGGAGGAGGAAGCGGTGAAGGATCTACGCCCCAGCGGTTCCACTGCGGCGAGGAAGCCTGCGGAGTCGGGGCTTCCCGAGACCGTGGGAGGAGAATTGCCTCACGCCAAGAATCTCACTCCCCAAAGAGGGAGCACGCGGTTCTCCATCCCTGGCCTGGCCACTGCTTTCGGGTACCCACTGACGTCCCCAGCGCCCGCATTGGGCAACTTCAGCGCAGGCTTCCTCTTTATAGGATTAGATGTGGTAGGGCATTGCTACGGGGAAGTAGTGCTGCAGCTCCAGACGTGGATTTGGCCGAAATCAATGCCTAGAGTTTTTCTGTAAAACAGGGTAGTAATATATTCGAACCTAATCAGATCCTGGACAGATAGATTGTTCACACCACGAGATCGTCTGGTTTTCCCCGTGCCAGATTATCACCTAGAATTTTCTAAATCAAAGCAGGCAACTTATAAGAGGATGCCTCTCCCGAGAGTGAGACAGAATGCGAAGGGTAGTAAACACGGACTACATCTGAGCTCTCACTCAAGTGTAGCAATATTCAAGCTCGTTATCCCATTCAAAACGAAGAAAGTTTGGGACAAAAACATGCAAGCGACTTAAAAACCGTGACCAGCCAGATCGCCCCCAAACACAAGCTGCCCTGGCAAGACTCTGGTGGTGCCATTAGGTTTTCATCACCCACGGTGTCCTGGTTTTTATGTAGAAAAAACTTGGCCCCTAAATTTTCACTACCTCGTTGCCAGGTATTTGTTTTATATGGCCTCCACAAAATTACAGCACATGCAGTCACTTGACACTCCCAAGTTCAGAGTTCCGAAAACAGTATAGCATGAGCTTTGGATCTGGAAAGATGTGTTGGATCCTAGTTTTGTGACCTTAATAAGTTGCATAACTACCTGCCTTAACTGTTAAAACGGCACTGGAAATATGTAGGAGTTGTTGGCAGAATTAAAGTTGTATGGCAGAATTAAAGTTGTTGTAAGGTACTTAACTCAGTTGAGTATCTCAACGAATACTAACTCACTGCCATCAAGTTGGTCTCCACTCATAGTGACCCCTCCTTGGGTTTTCCAGGCAGTATCTCTACCGAAGTAGATTGCCCAGCCTTCCTTCCAAAGAGTGGCTAATGGGTTTGAACTGCCAGCCTTCTGGTTAGCCGTCAAATGCCTTAGGCACTACTAGCTATTATATTTAAAACTATAATTTGAATTGTGTTGGTGAAGAATATTGAAAATGCCACAGACTGCCAGGAGAACAAACATCTATCTTGGCAGAAGTGTAGCCAGAATGCTCCTTAGAAGTGAGAATGGCCAGATTTCATCTCTCTTAGTTTGGTCATGTTGTCAGAAGGCACCAGTCCCTGAGAAGGATATCATGCTTTGTAAAGCAGAGGTCAACGAAAAAGGCAAAGGCCTTTAACAAGATGGATTGACACAGTGACTGCAACGATGGGCTCAAGCCTAGTAACCATTGTGAGGGTGGCCCAGGACCAGGGATGTTTCAATCTGTTGTACATGGGGTCACTATGAGTCAGATCCAACTATATGGCACCTTTGGAGGTTAAGGTAGTTAGGGCTGTGTGTCAACTAGGCTGGGTCTGATTGAGTGGCTGGGCAGTTTGAGGTGGTTATTCCCCATGATGAGGCTGGCAATCAGCTCCATGGTGGGATCTACCACACAAGCAGCTGAGTAGCTGCTTTAGGGATGTGGTCTGCTTCCTGTATATAAGAAGCTTAGGGAATGGTCTCTAGCTTTTTGGCACACTTGAACCCTGCATGTAGCTGAGTCTTCATTCAGTAGCCTTCCATGCTCTGCTGATCTTGGGACTTTCAATGGACTTGAATTAATGGCCTGCTGTGTGGTTTGGTAACATTGGAACTGTGCCTTTTTCCTTGTCGACCTTGGGTTTGTCAGCCTTAGCAGCCAGCAGCTGCCTGAGTGAAGAAAGCCTCTAGCTCCAGTGGGCTGGGAGCCAGAAGCAGCACTGAAGCCAAGGTCAAGGGGCTTTCACCCAGCCCCTAGAGCCTGGCACTTTGAACTCGGACTTCTAGCCTCCAAAACTGTAAGAGAATAAACTCCTGTTTGTTAAAGCCATCTCATTTGTGGTATATTCCTGTCAGAGCAGCACTAGGTTAACCAAAACAGCAACAAGAGCATTATATTTAAATTACGAATATAAAAGCTTGTTGCGTACTTAGTTTGACCTGGCAAACCTTTTCCAGTAACTTCCAGTTCCTTCCTGTTTTGCCCTCAATCACTGAACAGATACTTTCTGATAGCTGCATGTACCAGTTACGGATATTGAGTTTTGTAGTCGTCATAGGACTAGTCCCTGGAGAAAGATACCATGCTTGGTAAAGTGGAGGGTCAGTGACAAAGGGGAAGACACTCAGCGGATGGATTAACGCTGTAGTTGCCACGATGAACTCAAGCATGGCAAGGATTGTGAGGCTGGCACAGAGCTGGGCAGTGGTTCGTTCTGTTGTCACAGGGTCGCGGTGGGTCAGAACTGGCTCGGTGGCACCTAACAACAGCGACACTTAAAATTTACATTCAACAAACTTTATTTTTTTCAGTCTACTGTGTCTACTGACGCAGCCTCATGCATATGGGCGAGAACGGATACCAGTACAGTGGAAGCTGTGGAGCCGGAACTTGATGGGACTGCCTTGGTTTTTTGGGGTCTTGCAAATTTTGTGCCTTTGACATGGTGCATTCTTTTCTTTTTTTGTGTGATTTGGGTGAAAATTTACAGAACAAATTCACTTTCCATACAGCAGTTCACATGTACTTTGTCTCATGACATTGACCACAATTTACCACAATGAAACAGCTCCCCTCCTGCTTCTTCCCGATAATTACCTCTTCCCTGTGTCCATCCGCTCTATGCACTCCTGCCCCCTGAGCTGTCTCCCTGGGCTTAAACAGCCCTTCTTTCTCCCATGATAGTTCTCTCCAAGGAATGTATCTACCTTAGGTAAATGTTCAACTCATATGCCTGTCTTTTGTTTGGCTGGAAGCCACAGGTGTGGGTTCAATTCCAGGCCTGAGGGGCAGCTAGGGGCCATAGTCTCAGTGGTTCCACCAGGCTCTATCAGACCAGCAAACCTGGTCCCCCCTTTTTTTCCCAAATGATTTTGAATTTTGTTCCACATTGTTCTCCCTCTCTATTCAGGATCTCATATATAGATCCCCCTCCAAGTGGTTGACAGTGGTAGCTGGGCACCATCTAGTTCTTCTGGTCTCATAGTTGTATAGGCTGAGGATCGCATGGTGTACCAGTCGCAAGGACTAATTGTTTCCATGAATCTTTGGTTTTCTTCATTCTTCTTTGCTCTGGACGAGGAGAGACCCATCATTGCATCTAGATGGCTGCTTGCAAGCTTTTAAGATCCCAATGGCTACTCTCCAAAGTGGGAGCTCTGGTAGCATAGTGGCTAAGACACTTGCCTGCTAACCAGATGGCTGGCGGTTCAAACCCACCAGCCACTCCTCGGAAGGAAGGTTGGGCAATCCTACTTCCGTAGTGATACTGCCTCGGAAACCCAAGGAGGGGTCGCTATGAGTCGGGTTTGACTTGACGGCACATAACAACAACAACACCACTCTCCAAAGTAGGAGGTGGAACAATGTTTTTGTGCAGTATGTTATGCCAATTGAGCTTGATGTCCCTCACGACCGACGTGGTGCATTCTTACACTTTTCTCTCCTTTTAGTGGAAAGTATTTGAATTGTGCTTCTATGTTAGGTTTCCACCTTACACAGGTTCTGGCTTTCACTGTGTTACTTAATATGAAAGTCTCCTTCCTGAGTTGATTGGTATGTCCCTGCTGCTCTGCTCTTCCTCTTGCTGTTTTTAGCTGCACATCCATGTGACTCCATGTGTCAGAGTAGGGGTTTCAAGCCTGTGACCTTTCAGAAGCAGGTTGCCATGTGTTTCTTCTGAGGTGCCTCTGAGTGGACTTGACCTTTCAACCATTTGCTTAGCAGCTAAGCGTGTTGACTGTTTGCAAGTACACTCAAAACTGCCACACTGCTGGTCCAATAGAGCCTGGTGGAACCACTGAGACTATGGCCCCTGGCTGCCCTTCAGGTCTGGAATTGAACCCACACCTGTGGTTTCCAGCCAAACAAAGTACAGGCAAGTGAGTTAAACATTTACCTCAAGTAGACACACGCCCTGGAGAGAACAATCATGGGAGAAGGAAGGGCTGCTTATGCACAGGGAGATAGCTCAGGGCGCAGAGAGTATGGAGGGATGGACACTGGGAGGAGGTAACTATGGGGAGGAAGTGGGAGGGGAGCTGTTGTATTGTAAATTTTGGTCAATGACATG